GGGGGGCTCCTTGGGGATCTAGGGGGGGTCTACGGGGGTCTGTAGGGGGATGAGGGCTTTGTGGGGATGGATGAGGTCTTGGGGAGAGGGCGGGCTGAGGGATCTGTGGGGGTTTGTGGGGTCCACACGGGGACTGGAAGGTCTGTGGGGTGTCTGGGGGTCTATAGGGGCCTATAGGGAGCTGAGGGGTCACCCACAGGTCTTATGGGGGCTAAGACAGATCGTGGGTGGCTGTGGGGTCTGTAGGGCAGCTAAGGGGTCTGTGGGGCTCAGTGGGAGGCTGGAGGGGTCTGTGGGGGTCTGTAGGATGGCTGAGGTGCCTTTGGGGGGTCTGTGGGGTCTATGGAGGCCTGGGGGGACAATGGTTTATAATGAGGGGTCTGTGGGGGTCTATGGGGGATTGGGTGCCTATGGGGGAGCTGAGTGTTCTGTTTTTTGGAGGAGTGGAGTCTATGGGGGGCTGGGGGGGCTCTGTGAGGGGGCTGATGGGTCCTTGAGGGTTCATGGGGCTGTGGGGGGCTCAGGGGGTCTCTGGGTGTCTATGGGGAGTTATGGGGAAGTCTGGAGAGTCCTGGGGGTGTGGGGAGTGGGGTCTCTGTGGCTGTTGGGGGGCCTGGAGTGTGTGGGGCTGGGTCCATGGGTGGGGGGTGTAAGTGGGGTTCAGGGTGGGTATGAGGGGTGTGAGAGGCCCTACACCCTCCCACCTCCCTTACTGGGACTCACTGGACCTGACTGGACCCTGCCAGTGGAGCCCTGAGCCTGCCACAGCCCCCAGCGCCTCGGGGGGGTCTCTCTGGCCAGTGACCCCCGTGTGTGTCCCCTTGTGTCCCCCCCAGGGCAAACCCTACGTCTTCGACCGCGTGTTCCCCCCGAACACCACGCAGGAGCAGGTGTACCATGCCTGTGCCATGCAGATCGTCAAGGGTGAGGGGACAGGGAGGGGACAGCGGGGGACAGACTGGGGACAGACTGGGGACAGACTGGGGACACAGGGACAGACTGGGGACAGCCGGGGGAGAGACTGGGGACAGCCCGGGGACAACCTGGGGACACCGGCGAGCGCTGGGCAGGGGGGTCTTGGGGGTGTCCAGAAGGCCCTGGGGGCTCTGCAGGACTTTGAGGGGGGTCACTGAAATCCCCAGGGCTCTGGGGTGTCCTTTAGGGGGTCACTGCAGTCCCCGGGGTTTTTGGGGTGTCTGGGGTGTCCTTTAGGGGGTCACTGCAGTCCCCGGGGTTTTTG